TCATTTTACTCTGTACTTCCTTCAAGCAGAAGAAAGTAAAAAAAAAGTTAGGATTTTTTTTTTTACAGTTTATTTAGTAATTTGCAGGGTTTTTTTCATAGTCAAATACCAAAATGGGAATGAGCACCAAGACAAAACAAAAGCAGAAGGATGTGTAGCTTGGTTCAGAATTGAAAGGGACTCTGATGGGGCTTTTTCTGATTTGGAGGTCCTCCGCCTTGGGCATCCTTTCACACAAGCAGGCCTAAAGAGCTGCGTGTTTGTGTCTGAGAGCTTCAGCAAATGTGGATGTTACCATTTGGTTTTCTACCTCAGGAGCATAGGAAACAGAATAGCTGTGACATTCCTGTCTAAAGCCATTTCCAGTGGCTAATGAGATGTTGAAAATCTTTCCAAAGTCACTTTTTCATTTCATCTGACAATTTGGCGTTCTGTGGATAGGGAAGGACCCACTTTGGTGGGACCTCAGTCCATCTTCCCCTTTGCACAAGCAACCATGGAAATATCAACACGTCTAAGATTTACCTGAATTTTATGACCACGGAGTCATGAAAACAAGACATTACCACATTGGCACATCTTGCAGTTTCCATGTGGTCTTTCCCTAGAATTCTGCCAGAGTTCCTGAGAGTAACTACTTAGGTCTCACAATGTTCTCTCTAATGCTTGCCACCAGCTTGCTAAGAATTCTGAATGCCAGCATTCATCATTAAACATTTCCACACAGTATACCCAGTGGTAATATAAAATGAAATAGAATTTTATTGTACATTTTGTTTATACAATTTGTTAACGCATACCTGTTTTGCTTTTTTGCACACAGTGTTCAAAGTAAACAGGGTGGTCAGTTGTAATTGACTTGTTTATTGTAATATTGGAAGTGACTTCTTTGCTTTTCATTATCATGTTTTTTTTCATTAATAAGGGTTTCATTTCGCGTCATTACTTGTAATTTTCCCTACTGTTTGACATTGGACAAATAGAAAAAAGGATCTAATTTATCTTCCGACTCTGACTAAAAAATATTCTTTCCACATACAGAACATTTTTTAAGAAAAAATTGAGAGGACTTTGTTTTCATTGGGGACATTTATATTGACAGTTTTGAAACTGTGTATATTTTGTAAAATGCTGTCATACTTTTGAATACCTTAAGGGAACCTCAGATGAAAGCTCTTACATAAATGCAGCTACGGTTGATAGATATTTGAATGCCATTTTCCAAAACAGCAAGGTTAATTAAACAACAAGGAATTAAACAACGAAGCTTAGGAGGCAGTAAAAGTGATTGAGAAATTCTGACCTGGACAGAAGCAACATGGTGATTGGTATACTTTTGAGGGCAATGTGGTTTCTCAGATGATGGAGAAGTTTCTTCACTTAGGAGTTATGGGTTCATCACAGAGACAGTTTTTACAGCTGTCACTGTAGAAGTTGATTTGAATTAAGAGTCAACATGAAGCATCCTTGTAAGACTGTTTCACGGTTGAAAGGCAGCGCCGTGTTGACTTTTATTATCCACAGGGGCTGTGTTCATACTGATGAAGAGGTGTTGTGCCTCTTCATCTGAACCTACCAACTAAATCTTACCTTCTCCCTGACACCTCATTTGACCTCAGTCCATATACTAAGCTGTACTTGCTCCATTCACATGTACATGTTTGCTCATGTATGTGTTTTGCCCTGTACTGTCAGGTGTGGTTTTAAAATAGTAAGGTCCAATCTCTCTGAACAATACCCTATCCTCCTAAAGGGATAGCATCCTACCTCCTTGATGCCCTTATGCATTGTAGATATGTTTATTATGTATTTACAGTCATACAGTTTGTGGCTAGAGGAGACCTTAGGTGATTTGGTTTAACTGCCTTATCTTATGGGCAGGGTAAATTAAGTTATAAAGAGATAAAGCAGTTTTCCTGAAGGTTTTGACTAGTGTTATGGGTAAATCTGAACTAGAAGGTAGATATTCTGATTTCCAACTTTGTTCAAATTCTGTTCTTCCTTCAGTAAATATTTATGGAGCACCTGTCAGGTGTCAGGCCCTCGGCTAGGCTCTGAGCATGTCTTGGCACTTAATACTGCCATGAGGGAGGAAGATACAGTGGAACCTCCATAGTTGACCTAATTTTCATAGACCGAGCATGTACCACGTGTACTTATTAGTACTCTAGGCCTACTTTCTTACAGTGACCACCTTCCTGTGTTGACCCATTTGTTACAGTCCCTTGGGTGGTTAGCTCAGGGAAATTCTACCGAACTAACAAATATTATACAAATACATGCACACTGCTAATGTAAGTGTTGTTTGTTGGTTAAGGATTGTGTAGTAAGTTGTCTTTGGCAACTTATCTATGCAGTTAAACCAGTTATTTGTTGTATGCTCACTCGGGTCCAAAAGGAATTAGAGCTGGTCAGCCACAACGCTTTCCATCATGATATAGTTAGAAGAAGGATCAGGTAAGTCCTAACTATTAACAGAAGGCAAAATGTAGAATTTCTATGATTCAGAGAACACAAAGATCACTTTTTTTTTTTTTTTTTTGAGACAGTTTCACTATGTTGCCCTGGGTAGAGTGCCATAGTGTCACAGCTCACAGCAACCTCCAACTCTTGGGCTTAAGCGATTCTCTTGCTTCAGCCTCCCAAGTAGCTGGGACTATAGGCACCCGCCACAACACCTGGCTATTTTTTGGTTGTACTTGTCATTGTTGTTTGGCAGGCCCGGGCTAGATTCGAACCTGCCAGCTCAGGTGTATGTGGCTGGCACCCTAGCTGCTTGAGCTACAGGGGCCGAGCCACACTTTATTTTTTTTTTAAGAGAGAGGAGAAAATGACAGGAAGGAAATTCCTTCAAGCGATGGCATATGATAGAGCCTCCGAACAAAAGCTCTCTAAGGAAGTTACCAAAAAGAAAAAGAAAACTTTGTAATAGAGATGTGGGCATGGGGAATCAAATTTAGGATTACAGGGGAATTAAATTTAGGATTTTATCAAGGATGATCATTGTCGTATCTCAGGACACACTAAGAGAACTTGTTCGTATTCAGTGAGCAGGGGCCAAAGGGAGGGGTTGAAGCAGGACAGGAGACAGCTGCTGAGGTTGGGCAGAGGAGGGGATGCCTGTCTGCTTGGAGGAAGCCCGGTTGGGCAGGCAGAGCAGACAGGTCCGGAATAGCCCCAGGGAATCCCAGAGTTTAACTGGGGTGACAGCTGCTGCTGAGCAGCCTAGAGTAGCGTTCGGGATTCCTGGGGGAGCCGTGATGTTCTGTTCTCAAAGGTTGAGCCCCACCTGGACTGTGGGTTCAGGAGGAGGATTTCAGGCAGATGAGGTCTGGTGGGATGGCAAGGCACATTCACTAGATAGGGACTCAGTACAGAACTCATTTCCAAAATCAGGGTTCAGAGTAGAGGTAGGGCTTCTCAGTCACAAGAGCTGATTGTCACTGTCAGAGCAGAACTAACCAGAAAGGTGATTGCTTCAGTCTCTGTGTGTTGAGCTTGTTGTAACCTTAGGTCAAGATCAGTCTGTTGACATGGGGCCCTTCCCACTTACAGGAGAGAAGGAAGGTAAAGAGTGGGTGCCAGACAGGGTCTGACATGGATTCAATTTGTTAAAATTCTATCTGCTTAATACTCTATGAAATGAATAATTTGGCCATGATGTCATCATGATAGCCATTCACTAACCTTGTTACAAAGTTCATATTTCTGCACAAACTCAGGACTATTACAATAATTATCAGCCATCTGTCTCTAGTTTCCAAGGTAATTAGTCATTTATGTTTGTAGATTTACATGCATATATAATTTGTGTGTATGTTACATTCTATGAAACATTTTATTGGCATTGTTAGTGGTGTATTCTAGCTTATTTGAGGGTTGACTAAAATTTTTATGTCAATACTGTTTGAAAAATTGTTTAAATCTCTTTATCTCTTTCCCTCTAAATATAGTATAATGAAGATAATAAAGATCTTTTCATTGTTAAAAAATTAAATAGAGTCCTCAATCTGAGAATGTAGGTAAGGCAGATATAAAATAAATACCTATTTTGCAGTTTGAGAATTTGTGTGGGAGTTACTTGTCCAAATTAAATTATCAATGTTAAATCTTCTTCTAGTGGTTTCGTACTCTGTCCTAAAAGTAAACTGTAGAAACTAGTGCTTACGAGTTGCTGATTCTGATTTAGTTTCTGCTGAGACATATAATACCCGTGAACTGAGTATTTTATATGTCTGATTATAGTAAACTATAAACATACAGGGATAATTATTTTGCCTTTTTTCCCTTAATAGAATTGTCTTAGGATTATCATAATGACCTAAAAACAGTGTTATGTGTAGCATGACATTCTCATTGTTCTGACAGCAGAGCTGACCATGCCACCTTCCTCTGTCTAATCAACTTTAAGTAGCTTCAGCATTTACTCCAGAGCAGTATTTTTCAACCTGTTTTATCTCACAGTACACTTGAACCTATAGTTAAACTTCCATGGCACACTTAAATTATGTTGTTTTGAAAAAAAGAATGAAAACAAGAATATACTTATTGTGCTTTGAACTTCTTTAAAAAATAATGATCTGGGTGGTGCCTGTGGCTCAGTGAGTAGGGTGTTAGCCCCATATACTGAGAGTGGTGAGTTCAAACCCAGCCCTGGCCAAATTGCAACAACAACAACAACAAAAAAAAGAAATTAGTTTTTTTAAAAAATATATAAATATTGATCTTTAAATTTTTTCACAGCACACCTAAGATCCTCTCACAGCACACCATTCTGCCACGGCACACGGGTTAAAAATTGCTGCTCTAGAGGGAAAGATGTGAGACTGTTTTCTCTAAGAAAAACAGAAAATATGAAGTGTTACTTTGTTATAAACTAGTTAGGAAACTATTGTATGAAGGAAGATGTCGCCTGAATTGTGTGCAACATAATGTGCAAAGCATTTGGAAAGTAATGGAAAAGGCATTAAAATTGCCACCTTTTTTTTTTATTTAAACAGGCTCATGCACAATTAGTTCGAGAAGTTGACGTGGAGAAGGTGTCTGCTTTTGAGAATCCATATGTAGATGCAATAAAGAGTTTATGGAATGATCCTGGAATCCAGGAATGCTACGATAGACGACGAGAGTATCAGTTATCTGACTCCACCAAATAGTGAGTATCTACCCACGAAACCCTCTGGAGCTTTCTCTGTGCTTTCGTGTGCAAGTCCTCTGCAGTTGCCATAAACGTCTGCAGTCTGTGCTGTGTATATAGTATCAAAGTAAGGAAGTATAGATGTTAGACTTGTGCCAACCTCGGAAGTCTAGAGAGATGATAAGGGACTGGTATCATGAATTAGGGAGGCTATTTCTTTGCTCTTTTCTGTTTGAAAAACAAACTGAAGAATCTGGGAATGTGATTTCACCAACCTGTCTCCTCCCTCAAATTGCAAACTAGTGATTCTCAAACACATGCACCATTGTGATTTGAAATCTTGTAATAATAATTTTTAATACAAATTCTGATCTTACTCATGTGCTAGAAAACACCTACACATATTAGAAACTGTAAACAAAAATGTTTGATTATAGCTTCCTAAAACGTCAGACTTCCTGTTCTCCAGCTTTCAGACCCACAACCTTGACTGCTTTCTGAGAGCCTCTATTATATATTAATGGATAGGTTTTCCTTTGCATGAAAATTGCGTCAGGAATCTAATTCTGCATGCATTCCAGAATTACTTTGTAACTGTCAGTCAAACTCATGTGTCCTGGGAAAGATTTGCATCCTAGGGAGATGTGTTAATTCTCTAGATTAAATCTCATCCAACAGAAAGTAAAGATTTGGCAATCATTGGATTAATGTAATCAACGTAGTCAGCAATCTAGATAATCAGGCGTCTGAATAATGGGGGTTGTTTTTGTAGTATTTAGCCAGATTTCTGTCTACGTTAATTATACTAATCCAGTATTTGCCTCGTGTTTTGGGTCTGGGCAACAGAAGAATGGGTGGAAAGTATTCAGCAGCCTCACTTTATGGTAAAGTGGCCCACTGCATGAGAGCAGGCCCTTGGGAGAAAACAGAGAGCCCGATAGGCTGATTGGCATCACTTAGTAGTGCGTGAAAGATCCAACAGCTATGCACTGTTTTTTCAATCAAGTTATGCTTTTACCTTGCTTTTGGGCATTGTGTAAGATACGACTCACATCAGCCACAGAGATGTTGCCTGGTCAGAGTATCTCCTGTATTTCTATGGTAAATTTGAAGTACACACTTCTGTAATGTGACATAGTTGGTAAATTTGAAGTACACACTTCTGTAATGTGACATAGTGTGCTCAAGAGCACCATGTCCATTGTACTTTAACTAACCTTAACCCCCGTGTGCCTCTGGAATGTGTGCTTTTCACGTTCCTTTTCTTCTTCCTTCTTTCACAACTGCATGTTGCTCTCTGGGCTCTTGTGCCTTCTTCCCTCACTGCTTCCACCCATTCTCTTGCCTCTGTCTTCCTCCCTTTGTTCCTTTCTCCTCCTGGGCTCCCACCATACAAGTTTCTGAGAGTACAGAGATGGAAAAGCTGCATTTAGCTCTTGTCTGTTCCAAGTTCTGCCCCCTCAACCTCTGACCAGCTGTCTTTCTTTTACTTCCTGCTCCCTCTGTCCTTCTGTTTCCTTTGACATTTCAGATCCCCCCTGCCTCCGGGTGGTGCTGCCGGGTGGTGCTGCTGTGTCTTAGCTGTCAGCCCCGCTCATGCTCACCATGTCGTCTCCTGTCTGCTTGTTACCCCTCCACCCTCACCTTGGAATCTCTTTGGCTCTTTTTTAATCCTTTCTACTTTTTTCTTTGCTACTAGGATGTCTTGCCCTGGCCTTTACCAACTGATCCTTCATTATGAAGTTACTTTTTTTTTTTTTTTTTTTTTTCTGAGACAGAGCCTCAAGCTATCCCCCTGGATAGAGTGCCATGGCACCATGCTCACAGCAACCTCTAACTCCTGGACTCAAGCGAGTCTCCTGCCTCAGCCCCCAAGTAGCTGGGACCACAGGCGCCCGCCACAATGCCTGGCCATTTTTTTTTTTTGGTTGCAGCCATCGTTGTTTGACGGGCCCGGGCTGGGGATTCGAATCCGTCACCTTAGGTGTATGTGGCTGGCGCCTTAGCCGCTTGAGCCACAGGCGCCGAGCCATGAAGTTACATTTTACTAATCAATTCTTCACCTGTCACCGTTTTCCTTCTAATCCCTATCTTTTCACTTTAACTCTTACCTCATCTCTTCCCTCCCTATCTGTTCTGTTCTTCTGACTCTTCTCACTATGAAGAGACCGGCCACTGGGAATCAGAGCACCTGTAGCTAATAATTGAAATATGTGGCTGCCCAGGTTAGATCTCCCAGTCACGGTTTGCCTCCTGCTCCTGTGATAGAGCCTCAGAAAGATTCCTCTCTGTACTGGGGACACCTGTATCTGCAGCTGTGGGTGCATTCTAAGACAAAACTTCATCACACCTTTGATGGCATTCCCTTCTTGTCTCGGTCTGTAGATTCTAGCCGCATTCCCAGCAGTTAGCACAAGAGCTGGATGCTGCCGGATCTTCCTGTCTTCTAGTCTGGACAGTTTCTCCAGCCCCTGTCAGTGCTGTGAACCTGGGGAAAGCGTCATCTCAGAATTCTGTCAGTACAGGCTGAATCCACCACAGAAACGTATCTGCTTTGTGGGCGCATCCCTTATGGTAGAGCCAGATCAAGACGGGCAATGGCACAGGCTGATCCAGACCCTTTGGGTAATCACTCTTTAATGATCTCTGCTTTCCCCTTGTGGGGATGAGGAGAAATTGATTTTCTAAATTATAAATATGTGGGTGTATGCGCATATATATATATGTGTGTGTGTGTGTGTGTATATACACACACACCCCTAATTCTTTTTGAACCGTATTTTAGGCTGAAGTAATAAAGTGAATTATAGCAACGTGTCCTTATATACTTTGCCATCTCAGTACGTGTCTCTTAAAAAAAAAATAGGACATTTTCCTACATAGGAAATAATACAGTAGTATCCCTAACATTCATAATCCATTCTTTTTTATCACTTTATAAGCAGCTCATACTCAGATTTCCCACATTCTTCCAAAACGTCCTTTAGAGGTGGTTAATTCTAGGACTACACATTGCATCTGTTTGTCATGTCCCTTGAGGCTCTCCTAATCTAGCAGAGACCCATTTTGCATTTCACTGACATCTTCAAGAGATTGGCCTAGATTTGCCTGATTGCTTCTTATACTATGATTTCACTTGTTCCAGTAGCTCGTGGATTTACTGTAAACTAGAAATTACATTTAAACTCTATGTTAGGTTCAAGTTAAATGTCATACCTAGACCACGTCAGAGGTGATGTTATATACTGGCTTGCCCGTAGTCATCGAGAAGTTAAGATACGCAACAGTATTAGGGTCGTGGCACCCCCCATTATAAAAGTTGTATTTTTCTTCTTGCCATGTTCCTTTGTCACTGAGTCCAGTTCCCCTTTGATTCTTCACCTAATACATTTATTCTAATTAATTATTCTTACCTGATTTAATAATCCCATTAGGATTAGATTTGTAAAAAAATGATTTGCTACTTTTATTCACAGGTCTTCATTGGCATTCTTCTGTAAAGTAGATTTTCTCTTCAGTGGTGCTGTTTGGTTTCTGATTGGAAAAGTGTATGTTTCAATCTTTTGTTTAAAATCTGCAATTTATTCCATGGACTAAATGCATGGTGATTGTATAATTTATCATTCAAACCAGGATGTGCTGAAACGGAAGGCTTTGGTAATAATAATTTCAGTGATGTAGCAGGCTCAACCTGGGAATCTCCAGGACAAGCAGAGACATTTGGTCCCTATAGCTAAGTGAAACCTAGGGAGGTTTGTTTGCTGGCTTATTTCCTCCTTTTCCCTAGAATACTCTGTTTACTTTAAGGGAAATAGAACCATTTTGTTCCTGCCTGTATGTAAGGAGTTGTATATAGGGACCGGAGTTAACTGGCCCATGTTTCTGATCTCTTCCAGGAATGTCTTAGTACTCTAGATGAGTGCCGAGCAGCCTGGCTGCCTCGCCTCCCTCCCACTGTGTCAGGAGGCCTGAGTGCGAGAGTCACCTTAGCCTTCCCTACCTTAGTCAAGGCACTTTACTTTTTCTTTAGCCATCTCACCTCAGAGGTGAGACCTGTGGCCTAGTGGAGTCATTCATTTACTACCATATTCCACACATTTCTCCAGTACAGTTAGAGCAGATGCTCTGTGAGCTGCAGAGACAGCGCTGGCAAAGATGCAGGTCCTGTGTACTGAACATCACTAATTCTCAGTGCAAGCCAGTTACCAGGCATACTGAGAACAGAGGCCAAGCACAAACATCTTCTTTTCCATCTGATGATCCCCAATTCATCATTTAAGGTTCAACTCACAAGTCACCCTCCCTGAAAACCTTGCCTGGCACCAATGGCAGTAAGCCACTATGTCAGGCGCCCTCAAACTATAGCCTGCAGCAGCCCACCTAGGACTTTTATCTATAGCAGCCCACTATAGGCCAGTGGACTATAGCAGCCCACTATAGGCCACATGCAGCCCACCTAGGACTTTTATCCAGCCCGCCGGGTGTTTTTGCTACCGCTGCCTGTCCTGCTTAGCAGCCAACTCATCCTGGGGCCTGTAGTCCAGCCCTCCAACAGTCTGAGGGACAGTGAACTGGCCCCCTGTTTAAAAAATTGGAGGACCCCTGCACTGTCATCTACCTTAATACTTCATACATATCTGTCATATCTGTTATCACATTCATTGAAGTATCTCTCTCTTCCACCCTCAGTCCCTAACAGTGTAGATAGATAATTTAGACAGCTCACATAGATAATTTAGACAGCTCACAAATGTCTGTTTGACCTTCACAAGTGATGTTTTAAATAACATAATAGATGGATAATTTTCACTATTTTAATGACTGTGGTAAAGGCACTATTTCTTTTTGATACCATCTCATAGATGAACTATGACATTTCAGAGCTGAAGACATTCAAATCTTTTTTCCTGCTTCTGTTGAAGGCCTGAGATGTGAAAAGCTCTACTCCGAAAAACAATAATATAGCTGCGATTCACTGAATTTTTAGTGTGTTAGATTCTGTGCTTTGTCGTTTACAT